AAAAAAAAAAAAAAAAAAAAAAAAAAAAAAAAATCCCAATTCCTGAGAGTGTTTTCATACCCTGAGTCTCTTTTCCTTCTCAGGACAGCCCTGTTGGGAGAGGCTGGGATTATCACGTGTGTTTTACAGATAAGGAAGCAGGCTTGGTGCAGGGAGGTCATGTACCCAAAGTCTGAAGACTTGGGCCCATCAGAGCCAGGATTAGGGCCCAGCCCACCTTCCCCATCTCCTTGCGATGGTGCAGGCCCTGGTGAAATGGGCCACACCTACTGTGATGCAGCCACTGACTCTTCACAGCTACTCCTGAGGCTGGGGCTTTTGGGAGACCCATTTTACAGATGAGCGAGTGGAGGCCCAGGTGGTGGTGGAGCTCACCCAGGATCACTTTTGTATTCCCTAGAATGATTCCAGCCCCTTTCTGCTTTCCAGGGGTGGGGGTGGTCATGAAGCCAGGCTGACTCTGCACAGAGCATAGCGGGTGGTCATGCAGATGGTCCACCACTGGGACTTTAGCTGGCCTGGTCAAGGTGGGATCGACCTTTCCAGAGGCAGCCGCAAAGGCAGTACCACATCACTCTGAGCACTGGGAGTTTCCCACAATCCTTGGCTTCAAGATGGCAGCTGTAGGCACCTCTATGGCTCCTGGCTCCCCAAAGCCCAAGGCTCTGGCAAGCTGGTCGGCTCCTGCCCACAGTGCCACGGCGCCTCCTCTAGCAGGCAGAGGTGTCTGCCTCACCCCTTTTTGGGGCTTCATGCCAGGCTCAGGCTGGACAGCAGAAGCTAGAGGCAGTCCTATTACAGGCAGGCTTTTCACTCAGATCCGAGTCATTTTTTTGTTTTAATTTTAGACAGTCTCACTGTTTTTTTTCTTTTGCCCAGGCTGGACTGCAGTGGGACAGTCTCAGCTCACTGCAACTCCGCCTCCTGGGTTCAAGAGATTCTCCTGTCTCAGCCTCCCGAGTAGCTGGGATTACAGGTGCACACCACCATGCCTGGCTAATTTTTGTATTTTCAGTAGAGATGGGATTTTACCATGTTGGCCAGGCCGGTCTTGAACTCCTGACCTCAAGGGATCCACTCGCTTTGGCCTCCCAAAGTGATGGGATTACAGGCATGAGCCACTGTACCCAGCCGCAAGTGATTCTTAAACTTCAGTTTGAACTTGGGGTCATCCAAAAAGTGCCCTGAGGGCGGGGTTCCCTTCATACTCTGGAGCCAGCCCCAGTAATTCCTCTCTGATCTATGATACGGGCTTCAGCGTATGCTTTCGTTGGACGAGAGGGTTCCATGTTTGAGAAGGGTTTTCATGACATTGACTTCAAGTCCACCCACCCCTTCCCTCTCCCAGAGATGGGTGTCCATTGTCAGCTCACACACCCTCAGGAGAGGGGCCCTCACCTCTTTGCTTCCAGTGGGCCTTTGGTGAAATAATTCTGACTTATCAGGAAAGACTTCAGATCAGAAAGAGATTGGCCTCCCCAGCTGCTTCTGCCTTCAGCAGAGGCAGCCTTTGTCCCACCCCAAGTCCTTGTTGAGCCACCTGCTCCCTGTGGTACAGGGATGCCCCGTCCTGGCACACAAGACCAGCTGGAGTCAGGCTCTGGCCTCACTCTGGGGCCCCAGTTGAGAGCTGGGACTGAGAGCAGACTCAGGGTGGAAGGAAAGGAGGAAGGAAGACAACTGATGATGAGAAAACGTACAGGATCTTTGTTTCATAAATATGTATTTTTCTTTTTCCAATGAAAAAGTTTGCACATTAGAAAAATTGGGAAGGGTCAGGAGTGGGCTTCCTGGGGGGATGGCTGAGATGATTCCTCAACCCTGGACCGTGGCTCTGTTCACCTTCCCTGGGAACAAGTTCTGGGGCCAGGTCATGGCTTCGAGGAATCCCCGCTGCTGTGATTGAGGTCTCCCCCATCCACCCCACTCTGGGGACCTGGTGTGTTACTTGTGGGCATTTGCCACGCCAGCAGGGTGGCTAAGGATGGGCACAGAGCAGTCACACAGATACCAAAAAGGCCCAACTCACAGCCTCACTGGCTGCCGACCTTTGGCGTCTGCAAAGTGGGCTTCTGATAAGAAGTTGACCTGCACCCGGCCACAGGCACTCATCCAAACATACAACGAGGCGCTGGATAAAACTCCAGCCCCTCCAGGGGTCTCCTGGGCTAGAAGAGGACAGATGGGTAAGGGGT